TTCACATTGCCCTACATTTTCTTGTTTCTTTATGCATTTTATGCATGTCTGTATCCCTACTGACTGGTGCTTTCTTGTTTAAATTCCATTAAACATGAATACAAAGCTTTATTTCTCAAAAAATGGCCATCCTGCTGCTTGATTTCAATATCCTACGATCATTTATTGAAAATGATTACCATAAAGTTTTATCCTTATTTGTCTATTTGAAATTGAAAAGTCCAATAATTATCTATGTGTTTGATTTTTTATTATTTGGATCAGGTCTTCTTTCTCTGGAAAGACAGCACCAAACTGGAAGTTTTTTGGTGTTCCTCTTGTTGCAAGGATTTCTGATCTTTCCAATGGATATAATATCTGCTATCATTTTCTGAAGCTTCTTAATCCATTACTATTGCCTACTAAAGATGTAGTAAATGATTTTGATGGTGACGATGGTGCCATGGGGACTAGTGGTAATAAGACTTCCAAGATGGAGGATGTGGTTGGCCCTTCAGTTTTAGATAGTGGTGCAGATCCAGTGAGTGTAACCGAGGATGATTCTCATGAGGGTGATAACTTCAAATTCTACTTGGTGGAGAACATGGCATCAACAGAGATGAAGATGAATGAACCAGTATTAATCCCTGGATTTAAAAAAAAGTTTGGATGTGCATGTTCGCTGGCTGGATAAGATGATTGAAAAGTGTGATAGAGACTCTCTCAGTTCATTGCCGGTTGTTTTCAGGCCTCACTCATTTGCAAGGGAGCCTCAAGAATCTGTTTCCTTGTATAAATGTCTCGAAGGCTTCTTACAAGAGGAACCCTTAGGACCAGATGACATGTGGTGAGCATGTTTGTATTTTTGTATTTTTGTATTTTTATGTGAGCTATTAAGTTTTTGGTGCCAGTATCATGTTCATTATGATTTTGTTCCTGCTGTCAATAATCCAAATTATGAATTATAATATTGCATAACAAATTTAAGGTTTTGTTTGTTGTGAATTTGAAGCACGTCTTGTATTCTCTCCAATAATAGGGTGGTTTGGTCATATGATATTCAGGTTCTGCCCCAGCTGTAAGAAGCATCAGCAAGCCAACAAGAAGTTAGATCTTTGGAGATTACCTGAGATTTTGGTTATTCATTTCAAAAGGTTCTCATACAACTGGATACCTAATGGTAAGCTAGAAACATATGTGGACTTTCCAATAGAAGATCTTGATCTTTCCGATTACATTTTCCACCAACAGATCTAGTCAGGCAATCGTTACAGGCTGTATGCTGTAAGTAATCACTATGGGGGCATGGGAGGTGGTCATTACACTGCTTTTGTTGATGTGAGTATTATTTCTCTGGTTGCATGCGGTTAGTTATATCTATTCAGTCTAATCTTGCTATGATCAGAAATGAGCCTGCAATGGTCGAACTACTGTGAATATAATAACTTCATTCATTCTGCTCTTAGGATCTTTTCATTGAAGGGTATTCTACTGTTTCTCAATCGGAAGGGAAAGTTTATTTTATTTAAAGAATTTTTATTAATTTGAAATGGTTAAGTATAATACTTTAAGTTTAGGTGATCTGTTTATCTGGCAGGTAATTGACTTTTTGTCCTGAAGAGAGTAATACCTCCTTTATAGCTTTAGAAGCCTACCATGGCTAGAGGATGGTTTTAGCAAAATGAATTCCTCCTACACAAATGATTTAATTAAATCGCTTAATATGGTAAAAATATGCATGAAATAGGAAAAGAAAACCAAGGTTTGTCATTTGCCCTAGTTTGAGATGAAATTGTATATCTGAATGCATTTGCTTTTTAAGATAAGCCTATTCTTTCCATTAATTCAACGGTTGCTGGATAACATATGACTTGTTGCTCTTATTTTCCAAATGCAGACTGGCCACGGGAGGTGGTATGAGTTTGATGACGTAAGTGTTCACTCTGTCACTAAAGACAGCATCAAGACGTCTGCTGCCTATGTCCTTTTCTATAGAAGAGTTCCAGATGTGTAAATTAGACGTAGCAGTGGCAAACTCATTGCAACGTGAAACCTGGGGAGCATAGTGCCTTTTGAAACCCCAACTAGGTTTTGACAAAAGAGCAATACTGCTGACTACCATTTGCAAGCTTACATTTTATTTGCCAAAATATTGTTTTGCTTAGAGTCTCCTGTCGGAGATAGCACATGATTTTGCAGTTGTACAGTTCAAAAGGTTATCAGTGAAAGCAGGAGACATTACAATGGTCACATACAATTTGTGTATACAATTTTCACCTGATGAAAGAATTAGATATATTCAGAATCCTTGTCAATTTCTTGGAATCAGCAGGTTTACTTCCTATCATTTTTAAATAATAGTAATTAATCACTCTTGGTAATTATAGATATTCAAATCCCCCTTTTTGCTTCAGCCTCCATGTAAATTTTGTTTCATGAAGATTTTGCTGTTGTACGGTTTGAGCAGGTTATTAGGACTAATAATTAATCACTACAGCTATGTGACTGGGGGTTTACCTGCTGTTTATATCCTCAAGGTGAGTTTTTATTCCATTAATTTGGTTTTTTTTTTTAACTGGTCTACAATACTTTCAGTGTCTGCATATGCTGAAAGGAATTTTGTCATTTTGGTAAATATAAATTTCTGTCTGAGGAAAATATTTCTTGCATATGTTAATATGTTCAATTATTATAGTATCATTTTCTCAGAGAGAATGGGAATTTTGTTTAATCATTTTAATAGTTGTAGCTTGTGGCAGTCTCAATTTTTCAGGAATCTTTAGGCATAGAAATTAAAGTGCTATCTTTTCAAGTTCAAAGAAAAAAATGTGTGTTTGGAGATTGTGGATAACTAACTGAAATTCGTGGCTCAACTTATAACTCTCCTCTCAGGCCAACAACTTTTTTTTTCTCTCTCTCTCCTTATAAAATTAACTCTCATTTCACGTCAACGAATTTTTTTTTTCCTTATAAATTAGAAGGGAATAAAATTTGACAACAATGATATTGAGATATCTATAATTGGTTTTCCTTGAATTTTATAATTGGAATATAATATTACTCTTTTTTTTTTTTTGGGTAGAATGAATATAATATTACATATAACTAAAGAAACAATGTATATTAGTAGTACCTCTTAAAATTTTCGAAGATTTAAAACTAAAACTCTATTTTTATTTTTACTTTTTTGCTTCAATTTAGTAATAGGGACACCATTTAATTTAGTACAATTATGTTTTTGTTTTTTCTAATTTTCGGGGAAAGTAATTTGAGATTTAACACTTTAAGTACTTATAAAGTTCAAACAAGACAAAAACAAATAATCATAAAAAAATTATACATCAATGTAGTTTTCTAAGTTTGATTTAGTTTTTGCCTTTGTAACAGAAAAAATCTTTACAATGATTAAGTTAAATGTATGTGCCTTTAAAATTGATCACAAAGATTATATGTTAAGTTGAAGGTGCATGGGCTACAATGAAATGTTTCCTCTCCATTTTTTATGTACTCTTTTGATATAAGATTATTGCAAAGAGTGATTCTTTCTTTGTTTCTTTCTTATGTGTGTATGTATATATATGCATTTGTATTGTTTAACACAATCGTTGGCGGATGGAGGTGTGTATGCATTTCCTTTACCCTCATTAGCTTTGTCCATGAGTAAAAAGTTAATCAATTGATAAACACATTAATAAAATCAAGACACTGAATTTGTTAAGGTGAAAAACCCATAAGGAAAAAATCACGGAACCTCAAAAAACTTCCACTACTAAAATAGTAACAATAGCAAAATTACAAGTTTTCCTCTCTCTAGACAAGACTAGAGATTCTTAACAACAATAAATCACAACATCACAATCATCACGCCAAGATAAAAGTTGGATAGCAAATCTTAAAAAATGCAGCTTGAAATGGACAAATTACAAGCTTGTTGAATTCAGCAAAGGTCATATTTGCTTTCAATCAGCACCTCATTGTTTCAAAACTCACTTGCCAGGCAAGAAAGAAGGTACAATTGAGTATGTCCTTCTCAATCAGCACCTCACTGTTTCAAAAATCTCCCAATTCTTTATAATGGAAAATGTGAGGTCCTACAGAATTAAAATTCATATTTAAAATTCAAATTCATTGCTTTTGTTTTTTGAATTTGAATTTGATTGGAACTAAAACTAAATTAAGAATCATAATGGTAAGGCCTTTAGTTGCAACTACAAGGAGGGAGTAGAGGATTTAAAAAAGATAACAGAAATTAAATGGTATTCATGTTCCTTTCATAAGAAAATTATCAAGTTTCAACCATTCAATCTCTTTCCAAAAATCAGAAAAGCATAAATCATTTTTGGGGCAATTGAATGCAGCATAAACCAGAATCAAAACCAAGAATATATATACCATACCTGAAGAGTAGACTGTAGGATTCATGAAAACTTCAAGTAAGAATTGGTTCTTACTACTAACTAGCTAGCCATACATAACCTGCACAGAATGGACACATATCATTTATCATATGAGAAAAAGCAACAGAAGAGGAGAAAAACCTATAGTCTCAACTCAACCTGCTATGCTATATATGTAGTAATCAATTTAAATTTTCTAGACTCTCATATCAAAAGCATAAAGATAAAGCCAGTTTCAATCTTTCTTTCAAACAAGGTTTTACCTGACCATGATCTATCTCAATGTAGGGAATGCTACGGGTGAGATGCAAATAATCTCCTTTTGCCTCAAAGTGTTGCCGTTTTAGATGCTGGCAGTTTCTGATGCTGAGATACCCAAGCAAGGGAGGCAAGTCTTCCCTTGGCAAGGTCCGAAGCTTCGGACAATTGGATATATGCAGCCCTCGAAGAGAGTTAAGGCTGTGAAGGATCTCTTTCGATATGGATCTCAGATTTTCTACATCAATGATCCCAAGATAAGTTAAAGAAGATGGCAACACAATGTCAGGAGGCCACGTCCGACTAATTGCCAACTCCTGAAGAGAGCTAAGGTTGCGGAGGTCCAATCCCACCAACAAACGCCCATCTGAAATGGATAGTGTCTGGAGCGATCTCAACTCAACCACATTATTTGGTAACAACATGAGATTCTCACAATATAATACAAGACTTGTTAAGTTTGCAGGCAAAGCACCATCTGTAATGCACTTGATACTGGGGCAGTCTCTTATGTATAAGCCTTGAAGCAATTGCAACTGGTATATGGTATCTGACAGGGTCTTGAGACTCTTACACTTAGCTATAAACAAAAACTTTAGATTGGGGATGGATGAGCCCAGCTCTGGGAGGGACTCTAAAACTTCACAGTTCATGATTTCTAAATTAACAAGGTTGCCGTTGCCGTTAAAGATGGGTAAGCTTTTCAATTTGTCACAAAGAGTTATAGCCATGCCTTCAAGTCTGGTGCAACGTTGCAGCATCCTCTCTGGAAAGGACTCTAGCCTCTTACAATTTTGAACAAAAAAAGACTCAAGAGAATCTGGCAATTGACCACCCTGAAAAGAATTTAGAGATGAAAGTGCATCTAGTTGCAAATCTTTAAGATTGTTGTTGTCAACATCTAGTAGAGATTCAAGATTTTCACAATTCGATATGCACAATGATCTAATTGTGGTGGGTAATTTGCCTCTTGGAAAAGACTTGAGAGAAGAACAATGACTGAAGGTTAAATTTTCAGGTGTAAATAAGATGTTGTTACTACCTCCATCCATTTTCATCATCAGCACATTGGGCAATGACTCCAATTCCCCACAGTTTTCAAGGTGAAGATTTTTAAGGTTGAAAGGCAGGAGGCCTCGTTCTTTCCCTGCCAAACACACAAGCAGAGGACAGTCACGAATTTCCATTCTCTCAAGATGAGCAAGGTTTGCTATTTCTATTCCTTCCTCCCACAAACAAGTAAGTTCTTCACAACTACGAACAATTAGAGACTCAAGCATTGTCAGGGACTCCACAAAACTCTTAGGCATGCAATTTAGCTCTAAAATTCTCTGAATTCCCAACCTAGTGACAGAGGTGAGATCAACCATGCTCTTCAAAAGAGCAGCATTGCAAACTGTAATATTCAGATCTCGGAGCAACGGAAGACTCATAGAAGAGCATCTTAACTCTGGGCATCCATCTATCTCAAGATTTATGAGGGAAGATAGGTTGCTGGGTAATTGTCCTATCAACTCAGGACAATTTTGAATCACAAGCTTAAGGAGACAAGGGAATTCACCTCCACTTCCTGTTGGAGAAGCCCATTCTTTCCAATTAAACATATTACAAAACACCAGTGTCTCAAGTGATGGAAAAGTGCCAAGTCCATAAAACTCAGGACCCACAGCTTCTATTGCCTTCATGCCTTCAATACTCAAGCTTTTGAGAACAGGTAATAGTCCAAGTGATGGCAACAAAGTGCATCTCTGACAATTTCTGAGCTCCAAGTATGATAAATTGGAAAATAGTGGATCACCCATCCATAATGGGAATTTGTGGCCCCCATAGAAAACAATTTTGAGACTTTTCAATTTTGAATGAGGTTTTAACCAATCTAGAACCTGCATTTCACCATTGCTTATGTCCCTTAAATTACTAAAATCAGAAGTCCACTCCAAGAGTAATTCATCAAGACCAAGTATGTTGCCTAGGCTGGCTTCCCTAGCATCTTGAATATCGAAAATATTCTGCAGATCCAAAATAGACAATTTTCCTTGAAGTTGCTGGAAGTTCTTTAAATAAGATAATCTCAACAATCTATCTGCCTCCCCCACCATAAATTTGGACAGTGTCAAAAGATTTTTAAGATTGGCTATTCCTCTTGGCATCTCTTTTAAAGAATTTGTCCCCATAATATTCAAATGATAGAGCTCAATTAGGTTCCCAATTGTTGAAGGAAATTTCAAAAACTTGTGACAGTTGGATAACAATAATGTCTGTAATTGGAGAAGGAACCCTGCAGATTCTGGTAGGCTCTCGATCGAAGTTCCTGACAAATTAAGGTACCTCAAACAATTTAAATCTCCAATTGAATCTGGTAATTTCCATATTTCATAATTTTGAAGAGATAATGCCCTTAAGCACTACAATTTTGGTAACCAATCATGCACCACTGTATTTAATATATAGTGTTGAGCCCCACGAGGGAGTGAAACAATTGGAATGAATGTTCGCAAACTCTTCATTTCATTCAAAACTTCAAATTTCTTAGATGTATCATACACGCCAAGGTTGAATGACAAATGTCGAACCTTCTCAAAATTTACTTTTGGCTTTTTATTGGCCTCCCACAAATTTTCTAGATTGAAGGATGTTTTTCCAGCAACAAATTGAGCTAAATCATGTATGAGATCATGCATCACATACCGTGATCCACCCCTCCTCAACCTTTGAAAAAATGCTCTTGAAACTAACTCATTAAAATATCGATGTCCATCTACTTCTGAATCTTGTTGTTGGAGGAGCCCCATTGCCATCCACAGCAAAACTAGCTCGTTCTGGTCGAACTCATAGTCTTTAGGAAACACAGTGCAATAAGCAAAACATGGCTTCAAACAAGAAGGAAGATAATAATATCTCAATCTTAGAGCTGGAAGAATGCCTCTTTCACTTTCTTGCAGCTGCCATATTTCACTATTTAAGATGTGTTCCCAAGCAGAATGATCTAACTTATCACACAGAAGGCCTCCGAGAACTTTTGCAGCTAGTGGTAATCCTTTGCACTTTTTAACAATTTTCTCTCCAACTTCTTTTAGACCTGGGTATGCATCAAAATTGTCAGCTCCCAAAGCATGTTGAGTAAATATTGACAAGCATTCTTCATCCTTCAACACTTCTAGGTGGTGAGCTCTAGCCTTCCCTCGCATAATTTCTACAACATGCTCACTACGAGTTGTGATCATTATTTTACTTCCAGCTGCTCCAGATAAGAATGGTTTTTGTAGGTTATCCCATAGGGAGTAGTCCTCATTCCAAATGTCATCCAGTACAAGTAGAAACTTCTTGTTAGATAACTTATTGTTCAATTCTTGTTGAAGCAAATTCAGATCATTTGAATCACACTTCCCCCCAACTGCTTCCAGAACAGTTCTTGTTATGCTTGGGATATCAATTTGATCAGATACACAAACCCAGGCCTTAAGCTCAAAGCTTTCTGGCTTCACCTCGTTGTAAACAAGTTGAGCTAGAGTGGTCTTCCCGACACCTCCCATCCCATAGATGGGAACAACACAAAATCCTTTAGAACTACTGCCTTCATCATTGAGCAACTTTTGAAGAATAGCTGCTTTATCATTTTCTCGACCATAAACATAATGTTCAGGCAGAGAAGTAGTGGGCAATCTTCTTGTAGATGCTTTGCTAAGTCCATCTCTAGCTTGAGTTGTCGAACTCAATAGGCGGAGTTTCTCTGATTCATCTATCATGTGCTGCAATTTGAGAGTGATATCATCCACCTTAGAAATAACTTGGGAATCAAAGACAAAATCACTTTGTTTGAAATAGTTGAAACATGAGGGGATGAGTTTGCTAGTGCTGGCATGGTTAGGTTTTGCAGTTAAGTTGCTCCTTCGGGCATCCATCACAAATTCATCTAGGACGTCTTCCATATCATAAGCTAAGTCCCTGATATCATCAAGCCATATCTTCACCGAGTGGCTGGAATTGAACATTTGAGTCCTTTCTGCATCTTCAAGTAAGGCAGAAATTTTCAATGATAAGCTTTCCCATTGTCGTAGCTTAGTAAGGACTTGCTTTTGTAAATTCAGTGCTCTGCTAGACTCTAACTTGTTGAACAGCCTCTCGAAAACAACAGTTAAAAAGGCACCTCCAACAACAGATAAGATTTCCATTGAGTGTAATAAGTTTTCTGTAAATTAAGAGCATGCTTACTATAATTGTTAAAAATTCGGAAAAAAAAAAAAAAAGGGAAACTAAAAGTTGAAATCTAGAATCTATTTAGTTAAAACTTTTGAAACTAAAAACCGTGTACAAATTTCAATCTCAATTCCTCAATGAGTACACACATTATTAATCATTACCCAAAAAAAAAAATAAAAACACAGATTAATCTCATATGACACATTACAGTACAATTAAATAAAAAAAATTACAAGTTACGGCAATCAACTAATTATCTAGGGCATAAATGTATATATAAAGTTAATGAGTAGGGATTTATTAGACTTATATATTATAATAAATCTCATCAATTAAAAAAATAATTAAGATTTTATGTTAAAAATAAAAAGATAAATGATATTTTATAAAACTATAATTAATGTGAAAAATTTATGTGTAAATAAACTATTGCTCAATTATAAAACTAATTATCGAAAGATTAAGAAACATACCTCTACTTTCAACTTTCCTTTTTAATGTGGGATGCTAGAAGTGGGTGGAGATATCCGCTGGAATAAAGGTGGCGGAGAGATGGAAACAGTTATATTCTAGCTGGAAATTAGAGAAAACATGTTGATCTTCCAGAAATATTGATTTACTACTCTAACTTGTTGAACAGCCTCTCGAAAACAACAGTAAAAAAAGCACCTCCAGCAGTGGATAACATTTTCATTGAGCGCAATAAGTTTTCTGTAAATTAAGAGCATGCTTATTATAATTGTTGAAAATTCCAAAAAAAAAAAAAAGAAAAGAAGAAAAAGGAAGGTAAAAGTTGAAATCTAAAATCTGTTTAGTTAAAACTTTTGAAAATAAAAACAGTGTACAAATCTCAATTTCAATCCTCTCGATCAGTCCGTATAATATCAATCATTACCTAAAATAATAATAATAATAATAATAATAATAAACATAGTACTAATATTATATAACAGATTATAGTACAATTAAGTAAAAGAAATTACAAGTTATATTAATCAACTAATTATTTAAGGCATATATATATATATAGATCTACCAATGCCTAAGTTATATGGATATAGATCTGTCTACACAAAAGTTTTAGACATTATATATACTCAAAATCTTTATTTTTTTGTCTTAAATATGGTGAAAAATTACAATAATTGAAGTAAAAACATGAATAATTAATATTTTGTATAAATATGTTACTTATGCATAGGTAAATCTCTAATTATGTATAAAACTAATTATCTAGGGATTAAGAAACATACCTCTGCTTTCAACGTTTACTTTTGTTAATATGTGGGAAGCTAAAAGTGGGTGGAGATATTAACTGGAATAAGGTACGGGAGAGATGGAAACAGTTATATTCTAACTGGGAATTAGAGAAGACAAGATGATCTTCCAGGAATATTGATTCACTACTCTTTGCTTCTGCCTTTTGAATTCTAAAGAAATGGAGATACTGGAAAGAAACAGAGACAAAGTGTCAGGAAATTAACATAACATGAAAATCAACTTTAACAAAATTAAAATCAAGAGATGAGACGAGCAGCGTTTACCTTTGTCTTAAGGACTCAAGTTTGTGCTGGGAAGGAATGGATGGAGATCTGAGAATTTTTGGAGAAGGGGATAGAATTGAAGATGGATTCTCTCCAATTTCTTAGGGATTACTGGGATGGTTGACCTTTTGCAACTGGAGGTCCCACTTACAGAGAAGTCGGCCAAATGAAAAACGTCGTTTACTTTTTCGAAGAGAGAGTCAAAAAAGAAAGGTTAAAACCTACTTTAGTCCCTGTAGTTTAATAAAAAGTCTTTTTTATTCTCAACTTAAAAAAGTTTCTTTGTAGTCCTTAAAATTTAATTTTTTGATTTCTTTTTAATTCTTGAAATTTATTTTTCTGACTCAATGATGGAATATCCACATCATAAGTTTGAATGGAAAGATAGGAAAGTTCTATCAAGTAATGCATCAGGTATGAGAATAGACAGACTAAAATTTTTGAAAAAATAAACTTTAAGACTAAATTGTAGATGTTTTCAATTAAGCACCAAAAAGGACCCTATAAAAAGGTTAAGGGATCAAAATGAGATTTTAACATTTAATAAAAAAAATAGGCGTCATATAAGAGAAGAAAAAAACGCGGAAACTTTTTTGTTCGACGGTAGGTGTTTTTGGTCTGATCTGACTAGGGTAATTTATACGTGGGAAATGCATTTTTACAATTTTTTTTTATTTTTTTTATAATTTAATGTGTCATTAAAATAGTTAATTTTTTTAATTTATGTGAAATTCATGATATTAGATATATTTATTCATTTAATGACATGTAAAAATTATATAAAAAAATAAAACAAAAAATTATCCTAATAGCATTATCCTTTATATGTTGATATAAGTGTACCAACCCTTGAAACGCCATTGTTTTTCTTTTTTTTTTTTAATTAATAATTGCATTTTTTTTTTAAATGAGCGAGAGAAATGAAATAAGAATCCTTGAATTTTGGCTCAATGGGTAAAAAGCAGTAATGTTTTCACTCATCTCAGAGGTTCTTGAAATTCAATTAATTTTTTAATAGAATTACATATTGAGAGTTTTTAGAAGAAGAAAAAATTTAAATTCAAATTAAGTGAAAAATTCTATATAAAAGATAATCACTTATTATATTCAAAAATTCTCTTAAAACTCAATTGATTTTTTTCTTTTAACATTTTACAATTTGGAAGATGAGGAATTTTTTCAAAATATTGACAAAATTCAAAATTTCGATTAACTAATCCATATATCCTAAAATTTGAGAAGAAACCACTTAGGCCCAAAAATTCCTATTCTTAAAACTCAATTGATTGGCACAGGTGGATGCCAAAGTTTTAATTACGACCGTATAGATATCGTCTTTTCTCTATCCCAAATTATAACCGTTTAAAAAAAAAAAATTTATGTTGTAAGCGGTGGTCAGTCTGGACACCGGTCCCGGTTGTGGGGCATTGGGCTGATCCATTAGGAGCCACAGCTGGGCCAGGATCTAGCAAAAAGGCCACCGGTCTCTTCCAATCTTTGTTGGGCTTTGCTATTGTAGCAATAAATAATTGATTCTAAAAGCCCATAGGAAATTGCTGG